GGTCCTTGACATCCAGTGGACAAAAAGCAGCTGTGCGTTCGCACGGAAATTGCTCTCATTTCCCTTGCATCCGGGCAAACATGACTCCCATGCTCATCATTCATGGAGGAAAACAATGCCCGCAGGTGCTACTTGAAATTTTTGCACCTTTCGCCGACCAGATGCTCTTCTGTGCTTCCTTGTGGCGGGTTCACATGGTCAAATGGTCAAAGCCAGCTTGGCCGCCCGATTGCTGAATGTAATTAATCTTCTTGCTGACTTTGGTGACTCCTTTCGGGTTGGGCTTTTGGTTGTTGGATGTCGAGGAGGTGGCGGAAGCCACTTCGGCATAGTCTCGCGCTGGGATCATCGAGGGCACGAGTGACAGAAGAGGTTTGTGGGGGTTGTTAATCAAGAGTCTACATGACTGACCTCAATCTTGGTGGATCGCAGTCCTCGGCTCAGCTCTCGCACTCCTTGGCTTCCAGGCATCATCTCCTGGTAGATCACCACATCGAGTACTTCCGGCGCCCGGCAGGCAGTGTCTGCGGCCAGCGCAAGCGCACAGCGGAGCGGCAGGCAGATCCGTGGCATCAGGCCACGAAAAGTGGAGTCTTGACAGCAAAAAGTGCTGGAATTCTTCGTTCAACTGGGGGAGTCACTCCAAATCTGTCTTTGAACGTAGAGTTACTTTAAAACCAGAGGCCTTCCTATAAAACGGTGGTTTCGGCTTTCGGTCGCCCCATCGCGATGCAAGAGATGCAGCCCGCATTAATCGGGTCTGAACATCCGACCCAAGGTGACCGGTGACCCCCCTGGCTCCCTTCCCTCCCTTTGCTTTGGGGCCGTCATGTTGAGTTTTCACCTGTTTTGACATGAACAGGTTCACCTCCTGTTTGGGGGCTTCGCACCAACCAACAAGAAGGCCGCAGGAATAAAAGAGCCGCAGAACGCAACAAGAGAAGACACTGACTTCGCCCCTTCCCCAAAAGTAGGGTGCCCCTTCCGGCTGAACATGATTGAACATGAATAGCTGCTACATGTTGGTTCGGTCTACTGAGTCTACCCTCATTGTGGAGGGTCCAAAAGCGGACCGCGAACAGCTTGGGTCCAGCCTCAAAGGGTGATCGGCCTCACCCGGTCTCACCCGGCCCGTCCGGCCTGAGGCATAGGAGCCGAAGGTACGTAAGGCAAAGCCTGGTTCCGCCACATGGGCGAACGCCCGTGGAGCTCCCGAGTCTGTTCAGGATGAGGGAACAGTTGTCTCATCGATTCGGTCCAGTTTATTGAGTTTATTGCGGCATTAGGCTACTGGCAAGACGAGTATTGTCCCATCTTGTCGGTATGGATTTGCAATTAGGATGTCTGTCCTCAGGCAATTTCTCAGCGTGGATGGTCTAATGATTGGAAGTGATTGCAGCATTTGCAGCTCAGCTTTTGGAGGTTTTTCCAATCTTACTTCAATTCAAAGAAATCTGGACAAGTCCTTGGCAATAGCAAATGGTTGCAGTGGCTGAATGGCATTGGGACCCAGTCTTATTGCAAATGGCAAACCTGTAACGGATCCAGAATTGTTGTTCAATATTGTTCACACATTTCTGGGTATCAAACTTGCAAAACTTAACCTACTCAGCAAAAATCTCCGGAACACCAGCGGTATTGCAGGTTACATGTCTACCACCTGCCTTTACATGCTTCCAAACCATGGTTCCAAACTGCCTGACAAGCCACTGGTGAAAACATATGAAAACATCGCACTGAAACGACATGCCGAGCCGCGGCCGGCCTCGCGGCCGAGCCGCGAGCTCCCGCCTCGCACCGAGCTGAACAACGCGCCTCCCGGCAGCTGCCGTAGGACCTCCTCGAGGTCTTTCAGGAGCTTCCCGCAATCGGGATCAAACGAGCCAACCTGCGCCCCGCCCACCGCCCCGATCAGCTCGTGGGGCGCCGCCATCAGCTCGTGTGCGGAGCGATGCGGAGCGATGCGGAGCGATGCGGAGATCGGACGCGATGGATCGAACTGCGGCCAGTCTCGAACGGTGCCTGCGCCATCGGAGGTTCACCGTGCCAGTCGAACGGTGTCCGCTCCTGCGACGGGCGCGTTGGGTCACGTTGGGTCACGTTGGGTCGAAGGCTTAGATCAATCCTTCGGTGCACCAGAAGCTTTTACCTCGATCTTCCACCTGTGTGGCACGGCGAAGCCCTGTGCTGCCTGGTTTAGATTGAGAATTCGAGGATACCTTGTGCAGGTCAAGTTTAAGTGCATTTTGTGTTGAAGTGGTTTCTATCAAGTTCTACAGTATCTTAAGTGGATGTCGTTCAACTGAGGACTTGCGTCTCCAACTATCGTGCATGCACACTGGCAAGTGGTTCGTCGAGTTGTACCTGGCAACCTAACAACCAGATACAAATTTGATTGTTCCATTAGAACATTGCAGTTGAGCTTTACATAGGAAAAGGTCTTTGGTTTTTGGTTTCAACATCAAACGGTCTTGGTCTCAGGAGCATCCTGTTGTTTCATCCTGTTTTCCACCTTTTTCCCTGCCCTCCATGTGTCTTTCACCCCCTACTTCGACCATTTTCGGTCGAACCTCAGTCAGAACCTCTGAAAAACAATCAAGTCCGGTGCCGCGACTGCCAAAGAACCAAACGAATCGAACTGGAATAGAACAAAGCACCATGGGTTTCTTGTGTAACCCTTGCAGTATATATATATAATATATATGTGCCATTTGGATGGAGGGTATAGCAGTTTCATGACCAATTATACCGTATACGTATGTGTATATATATATATATTATAACCCTTCCAGTCCCATTCTCTGGGCATGGCACCGCACCTAAACCTTTCCTCGGGTGCATCCTGTGTTTTCCAGGCTCCATGCGTGGTCCATGCGAGGTCCCTGCGACGCAAACATAAAGAAAAACCACCAGCAGATTCCATGGAGTTGGGTGCCGAACTTGGAGGATAGCCCATGATCCACTTACTTGAAGTCAAACAAAAAACTTTTGGAACTGCTGGCAGGGTTTTTCGGCTTTCAGCATCTGTTAGCGGGTGTTTGACTTGCACTCCGCCCCCGCAACCAAACCCCAACCCCTCCTCCCCAATGGACACCGCTGAACAGATCGGACACGTGGCCGCTGTTGGGAGCCGACTTGCCTGTGAGATGCGTCTGAAGTCTCGTGAGGTCTTAAGTCTCAGGAGGAGCTTTCTCGTCTGAGGCGACCAAGTCTCGGCCCCGAATCAAACATGTCGAGGGTCCGTCATGGTTCGGTCGTCATGCCCGAGTAACGTGAGGGTCGGTCGTCATGCCCGAGTTGTGGGGCTGATCAATGACCCTTTGGGTATAGGATGATGTCTTTGGGACTTGGGACCAGAAAAAACCAGCCATTCTGAAGTTGTTTCAACTGTTCAAACCTGTGGACATGACATGCATCGGCTCCCATGACATGCGTGGGCTCTACGGGGACGCCGGTGTGAGCTGCCTGGCGACGGAAGGACTTCAATAGGCTGAAACAGGCGCGGAGTGATCGTGGGAAGTCTTGGGTCACAAAGACTCACAAAGCAAACATGTTGCCATATTTGAGCAACAGAAAACACCTCCGGGCCACAAAAACACCTTTTTGTTTAGATGGTTCCCAAATCCATCGTCTGCTTTTCAAGTCGGAAGATGATGACCTGGGCTTTCATGTCTGGCAATTCACCGAATCTGCTTATGCTCTACAACTGCCCGTCCGCTTCAGGACGCCAGGCTTGTCTTGTGTCAGGACCGCTGACCCCTCAGTGGTCTCGAGCCAGAATGCCCAAAACGAGAGAATGGGACACTCACAGCATCTGCTTGTATTCTTGTATTGCGTCCAGAGTAGTGTTAAAAAAAGAAAAAAGATGCATTGCATATATATATATATATCATTACATCATGTCCCAAGAAGGTGCCATCGACATGGGCCCATCCAAGAAAAAAACCTGCTAGGCACAGTGCCAAGCAATAAGGTCAACGGCTGAGGATACCCAAGCAATGGGTCGGTAATCTAGACTCTTGATTGATAAATCCCCCATATGAAGAGGTGGTTAGGTTCAATCCAAATAAAAGGGTTACTGAGGGTACTAATCAAGAGTCTACAAAGGGTTACTGAGGTGACTACAAGGTGACTACAAGGTGACCACAAGGTGACTACAAAGGGTTACTAGACTCCCTTGTAGTTTGGCTCCCGAGTCGGTCGCGTCCGTGCCGTCCTCACTCAACCCTCTGGGATGGCGTGGCGTCCCTTGTCGTCCGTCGCACCACGACCGGAGGCGAGCCCTGTTCGCCGTGAGCCGAGCCATGTGCCGAGAAAAGCGAACTGGTTTGCTGCCAGGGAAGCGCCAGGGAAGCGCCAGGAGCTTGGAAAGAAGCCAAACATGCCCAGGCCCTACTCCCATACTCCCTCAGCGTCTGGTGACTGGTGAGGTCCGGCGCTCTGCTATGACATATGAAAGTGCAGCTAGCTCCTAAAGGATTCAGGAGAGCCGTGTCCATACTCCCCAAGGACTCCCGACTCTCAGGAGCATGTCCTTTGGTTTCGGTCGCCCCAGATCGAACCCTTCCGACCCGGACAAGAAGGACAGTCGTGCGTCTTTCTCTCAGACCACTGGTCGCTTTCAGTTGTAAAAGGCGAAAAGAAAAGTTGACAAATGTTGTAGTCTAAGAATCCCTTAAGATCCTTGGAGGTAAAACAAATGGTTCGCCAGGAGGTCGCCAGGACACCAAGTGTCCTGGCGACTGGCGACCGTAGGACCCAACACCGCGAGACGGTGGACGTAGACTCATGCGGAGTCTAGACGGTCGGACATGTACCAAACAACACGGTCGTCTTTACGACTTTAGCCTACAAGCTTGCCAACCAGGTCAATGTGTCTTTTAATGGTCGTTGATATATTCACTACGTACATCCCCAAAGCATGCAAAGGAACATGAGGGCATGGTCCATGCGCATCTTCAGTGGCTGTCAAAGGCACAGAATAGCTTCAAGTTGCAGCTGAAGTTGAGGGTCGAAGTGAGCTCCACTTCAAAACGGTCCATAGAACAAACCATTTGCAAGAAGCCCACACTGGAGACCGGAGCTGCCGTGTCAGTTTGGACCTTTTGTCATCAGCAATCACTGAGCTTTGAAGATGCTGGCGACTCCTGACAGTCTGCAAACCCGCTGCGGACCAGCTTTGGATGATGTTGCTGCAAAAGGCAGCCGGCCGTTGACTCTTCTTCCTCTACTTGTACTTCGCGCAACGCGCCAGGTCTGACAGAGGTCGCCATTCCAAACGTAGATTAGCCAACAAGACCGAAAGCCAAGAACCCGGAAACTACATGGGAGAGGAACCAGTAAGATCCTCTGAATAGCATGCACACTGCTTCGGCATACTGTTTATCATAGATGCAGCAAATCCTCAGTACTGTAGTGCCACTCATAAGGAACGAAGATTGGTCTTGACTGTTGTATCACAAATCCTTCTGCGAAAGTGGCTAGCCAGGGTGAGGCCATCCCCTCTTAGGACGTGTCGGCACAAACTTGGATATGATGTGAACAGAAAGGCGCTGGTGGTCAGTGGTAGAATGGCCGCCGTACTTTTTGTAGGCCTCTGTTGTAATTACTGTTTGTCTCAACATGTCTCAACCGTCTACGTTCCATTGCTATAGGATGCTATAGGGACCTTGTGATCTAATCTAAACCCCCGAGCGCCTCCCACCTTGAGAAGTGCCCCAGACTGAGCTCTACTCCCTCGTTCCGGCAACGATGAAAACGAAGCACGGATCACCAGTGACCAGCGACCAGCACTGCCAGGGATGGAGCCATTGGATGCGGCGGCGCCCAAGATTCCCAAAAATCTCTCTCACCGTCTCAGCCAGCACCGTCTCAGCCAGCAGAGGTTGAAGAACCCTAGTTCGACTATCCTAGTTCGGTACCCCTGGTTACGGGTCCTATTTACGGTCACCTCTGTTGGAGAAGCCCAACATGTCCCGTCCTCATCCCGGAGTGTTCACACTCTCTGTGGCTTCAAGTGACTCCCTCCCTCCGACTTCGACTGGCTCGTTTGGGCTCCACCCGCGGTCCTCCTTGGGAGTCATCTGAACGAAGTCGAAGTCCCAGACATCGGGTAAACCCAAGTGTGGCCAGCCCTGGCAGGTCCGGGACGGTTGATGAACACGAGGAACCCGGTCGGGGACATGCAGAAAAAGTGAGCACGGACGAACGAAGGACTGAGCAAAGAACATGTGAGGCTTAGCAGGGCAAAGATCCCGGAACCGGGTGGTTTCTACCCAACTCAGGGATGCAAAAGAACTCTACGAACTGCCAGCACCACCCAGGCTATTGGGTGGTTTTGGGATGGGTCTATAAACCGCCTTTGGGTTGGCTGGTGCTGCTGCAGAGGGCATCACAGCTTCAAGCCTATTCGAACCTCATATATCCTTGGATATATGAACACTGCACCTCTCCAGGGTGCCGCCGGTACGGTTCTGAGTCAGCGTGCATAAACAACCAGGAACAACCGGTTTGTTTCCGGCAGTTGAAAATGTTTCACATAAAAGAAAGTGGTTCTTTGATGTCCTTTGGTTGCTTTACCTACAGTACTTGTTTCATGTTGTTTTATGTTGTTTCTGGTTGTTTGGGCAAGCACATGGCTTTCCAGGTCTTCTATCCTCCCTCCCACAGCTCCGTTTCAGCCATCTTTCCCTCGCGAAACCTGGAACAGTTCGCTCTTGGCGCCATCCACCTGCGAAGGCGGCTGCCCAGTTCCAAGGCACGTTGAAAGGAATCTGCCAAAACCTGGGTGTCAGAGGTGTTACATGGTGTTACTCGCCCAAAACAGTTTGGAAGATGCTTGGAGTGTTTCTCCGGTTGGATGGATCTTTGGATAATTTTCGGAGAAAGGTTCTTCGATTGCGTGGACACCGTTGTTCCTTGCGTGTCATTCCCATTGGGTTCATCATTCATGTTCATTCCAATTGTCTTCCATTGGACGTCGGCTCCGTGTGTCCCAGGTCATTCAGGTCATTCTGTCAGCGGCACTGGTTCTCCGTCACTTCCAAAGTGACTCCAACAGCTTTGCGAGGCTTCCGGCAGAGAATTGTGTGCGACTGCAGGTGCTTCTGCTTTGATGAAGAAACAAGTAAAGGGCCAGATGTGTGAAAATCGGTTTCAGGATGTTTCGGCCAAGAAACGAATACAGGCTCACCCAAAAACAATAACGCACGCACCAACGTCTGTTCTTCAGTGCTGTAACAAACTTGTGACAGCGTTGGGCCCTCCCTTATATACAGTGAAATGAAGTGTGAAACAATCCAAAATTTTCCCAGTCGAATCCAATCGATAGGAAAGCCGTAATGAGGGCGAACATGTTACATCATGTTATTTGAGAAGATGCCAGACACATTGCAAAATGCCACGAGGACAGGACTCGTAAAGCATGTCATGTAGCTTCACCACAACAGGTCACCCCAAAATGCTGGCAGTGGTTTGTGTCAAAGCTCCAAGAAAACCTCCTTTCAGGTCACCAGTGATACTCCTCACGTGACGGGCTCGGTGGAAAGTGCGTTTGCGTGAGTCCGTGCCACTGGGGAGCGCGAAACATGCTGGCGTCAACGCAAACGGCCCCGCCCGACCTCCGTCGTCCATCGAAAGGCGGGCAGCGCACTATGGGAGGGGCCACTGATCGCCTTCGGTGGGAAGCGAACCCAGTGACTGGTGCGAAAGTGGGCAATGAGTGTGGCTGGCATGGCATATGCCATATGCGGCATTTGGGTTAGGCATTTATATGGGTATCTGTATGGGAATCCATATGGGTATTTGTATATTAATTGACATTAAGTGTCTATAGTGAGTATCTATGGTTGGAGCTTCTTCTTCGGTCATTCCTACTTTCCTCGTACAAGTGTCAACAACCAGGTCAACCGCGCGACTCGATTTTTCGCCACAGAGAAGGGTGCCTGGAGTTAACCGAAGGGTCTTCGTTTGGCATCCAAACTGCTGCTGTGATTCCATAGCCTGCATCCCGAACCACCCATGGTTTTAGACCTAGAGGATTCTCACCTCTACCCTAGAAGTCCAGTTCGACTATATTTTGACCGACTGAAGTAAAGGAAGTTCCTGAACTCAGGTCACCCAAAGACCCTTCTTTTTATAGCCGACTGGACTCCCAGGGTCTACATATATATATATATGATTATATATGTACCTGGGCCATCCTGTCTGGGTGTCCTGGCCACTGCTAGACTGGACCTCCACCCAAACAGGATGATCCTGGTTTTTCAACACGACTTTCACCTGTAACTTGGAAGTCGAACTGCCACAGAAGGGTCTTCGCTCCCCTGGCTGAGAGAAACATGCTTCGGAGCGACGTCTTCGACTTCATTTCCAACAGAAGACTCCTGAACCTTCACAGCGTTGCATACCATTCTACATCAAGGATTTTATCACAAAGGATTCAACCCAATTCTTCCAACTGGCATATGCCTGCGAGTTCGGCGTGATGCAGGGAAGGCCGGCCTGGCACTGCATCGCCTTCAGAAGACAGGAGTTCGTCACCTGGCAGGTCCGCGCGCTCCGCGCGCGCCGCCATGCGCGTCACGCGCGTCGCGAGTCGGGCGCGGCGAAGGCACCGGGTAGTCTGCGAGGCGTCGGATGGGGCGACATGGTGTCGTGACCAGAGAATGGGGATTCCCCCAACAAAAGGGGGGGACCGGCGGCCTCAAAGACATGCTTTTGATCCATCTTTGATCGAATCCAAAGCGCTGGCGCCCCTTGAACATATCCAGGGCCCAACATCCAACATAATATGAAAGGAAGGGCCCAACATCCAACATACTATTATACTCGAGTGTTGAGTGGATGGGGTAGATCCACTACTGCAGTGCTGCAATAAGAGCCTTCCATCATATGTCATACTGTATGTCCATGATCGCTATGTTGGTCTCAGATGCTCCTCTGAACCCATGGACTGGGCACTGGGCGCATGGGCTTCGGGACATCGCTGACGGAAACGGGCCCCGACGGCGCCGGGCGGCCTTGGCGTCGATGCCTCCGTTGGGGATGTTGTTGACCATCCTTGGGTCACTAAGACTCGGACCAGGACGGCATGGCCCAGCATGGAGTGATGGAATCGGAGGACGCCCAGCATGGCACAAGGAATGGCCAAGCATGGCCAGCCAAACAAGCATCGCATGTCAGGTGTTGTTGATCACATCTCATGACGTTCATTCATGCCTCACAATGATCTGCACAATGAATATGATCGGAATGTGTGCAAACAAGAAAGGACCGCCATGGCCCAACTGATGCCCAACCAGCGAAACACCCACCAGCAGGTGATGACGGCCAGTCTTGATGAACACCAAAAAGAATCATTCGCGCACTGTTAGTCGGGCGAGGCGAAATCGATGGGCCATTCCTTCCGCCGGCCGTGACGCTGTTCTTGCCTGGACTGGTCTGGAAAAGGGAACACCCATACCACGCACCTGACTCGACATGCCAATTTCTGGCCCGCGTCTTCGCGTGCAGCACGGGCTGGGCCCCGAACCGGAAGGACAAATACCACCACAAAAAAGAACGGCGCCCTCCTTTGGGCGCCAAATCCGCCAGACGTCACGCCGTTTCCGGCTTCGCTACGCCGTTTCCGGGGCGATCCAAGCGGGCTCCGAGCGGCGGATCCAGATCCAGGCGCGCCATGATGGCATGGCCGGGCCCCGAGGGCTGTCCAGGAGTGAGGTCCTGGGGGGGCGGATCCAAGTCACAGGTGGGCACAGGTAAAAACGAACTTAGGTATTATAATGTCATAGATTGTATGATACATGATGATACATTTGTGTATGATATAGATTGATATAGATATACTATAAAGCAAAGTACACCCATACACCCATCTATACCCACAGGCTGAACCAGTGTGTTCAATCCACCCAATTGGTCCTGAAATGTCTTGTTGTTTCAACTTGTCCATGAGGTGTCTTCGCACATACTTCGGATTCCCCATCAACTTCCATGTGTCACAGAGAGGTCACGTGAACGAGATGCCAGCTCACTTTCAGAAGCTGTTTCCTCCGGTTTTCCGGTTTTCAGCTGGTACGAGTCAAGTAGCCACATGTGGCACTGTGAAAGCATAGGACCTTAGCCGCCTTAGCAGACTCGAACCATTGAGGCTGCAGACTCAGTCATCTGGCACCTGATATTGGTTTCTTCAGCTCTCGTCTTTGGTTTGACCAGTCCAGGTCGAGAGCTGAAGTATATGTTTAATTTATGAAATTTCAAGGACTCGTAAAATGACATAGGATAAAATCTGTTCGGGCCAGTGTACGCCAGGATTTGGGGTGTGTACGGGTGGGCGGACGGGTGGGCGGACGGGTGTACGGACGGTCGCACGGATGGGTGTGCGGACGGGTGTACGGGTACATCCGTACATTCGCACATCCGTCCGTACACCCGTGCGTACAAAAAAAATAGATCCTATTTTTGCAAAATAGATCTTATTTTGAAAAATAGGATCTATTTTGGTATGTACGCGCAGTTGCACGGGCGTACGTACACCCGTCCATCCACCCGTACACCTGTCCGCATGTTTGCACGCACGGCGCAAATTCACACGTTCATACCGCACGCTCGCCCGCGCGCGCAAAACGTCCCATCTAAGACAAATACACCATTTTACGACTCCTTCAATTTTCATATGTTTAATGGTCTAACGAGATGCGAGAGCATCCCTCACCCGGAGAAAACCGCACATCCCATCCCTTCATCCCTTTTGTCTCCTTTTTTGTTGGGAGTTTATTCAACTGTTCCCTCAAAGGAATCTGCAGGACGTGGAATATCTTGCTGCATGACGTGGAGGTCTCTTCCTGCCTCCCTTCTCCCGAGCCCAACCATCTCTCGGCTTCCCCCCCTCCACATCGTTCAAGAACTCGGCAGCTCTCCATCCCACGTCGCCGTTACGGCGGATGAGGTGGAACCGCTCATCCCCCCCACGTCATCCTCGGGGGAGTTCCGCGTCATGGTGCTGCGCATACCACTCAGATCACCTGAGCCATGGTTCTGAGGTCGCCATGTCATGTGGTACGGTTGGAGATGGTGGGGTTGAAGAGCGCCACTGGCTTCAAATCGATCAAAATGTGCCCTGGTCTCGCAGTTGGTACAAAATATCATAGCTATAGCAGCTACAGTATGTGATGCTATAATATTTAAAACCACAGAAGTGAAGTGAAGGAAATATCTGAAATCGAGTCATCTGGGTCGACCCTGTTTAAAACTGTTTAAAATATTCGACTGGACACCCATGGCCCAGGACGCACCTGTTCGTCGAGCTCACTGTATCAGTCTGAACAGGTATAGGCAGAATATGGAGGCAGTTCCAGGTGTTGGAGGAAGATCACCTGATGAGTGAATATGCTCTCCAACTTGGAAGTGGTACCAGTTCTTCATTTCTACATGTTCTTCAGGTGAACGGCGACCTTCAGGTGGACTAGGCGACCCACGAAAAGCAAGGAAGATCCTCCACACTGTGTGGCATGACCTGGATCTACCGTACCTGGACCATCCGACCAGACAGGGGTGTCCTGGCTGGACTACCCAAAACACATCTATACACCACTTAGAAACTCCATTGACCCATGGGATGGTCCGTCCGTCCAGGTTTAGGTTGGTCAAGGTATATGGTCGTGTGTCAACGACCCCGGAGAGCTCCCGGGCAACGACCCCCTGCGTTCGGTTCGGAACATAGACCTGTCCACCCAGGAAAAGGGCGAGAAGGGGGTCTCCCTTATTCAAAGACCATGTTTGTTTCAGATCAGCACTCTCAGCTACTTTAGTGATCCAACACCCGGGTGCTTAGCCAAACCTGGTCAACAATACGGGGACAGTGATTGAGCTCGAAGCAGTGAATTCCAAGCCAGCTCGACCGGGTTCCAACCTCATGATCTTTTGACTCTTTGCCACTCCAGGTGCTTAACAGCCGTGGACTCCACCAGGACTTTTCCCCTTCGCCCTTCTCCTCTTCTTCGGCACCCCAACCACCACCGTCTCCCCACCGTCTCCACCGCTGAGCTCTCCCGGCCCACAGAGGCGCCCAAGCGCTGGAGCAGCTGCGCGCGTGGACTCTCCGCGAAGGAGTAGAACTTTCCCCAGGTGGCCTCCGGACCCGGAGAGTTCCAGACTTTCCCAGGACCCTTCCGGACCGTTCCGCCGGCGGCGTGGTTCCGTTCCGGGCCCCGGAACGGACAGGGGCGATGGACAGGGGGTGGCGAAGATGTGAAGAGAAAGCAAGCAGTCCTCTTGGTGTTTGATGATGTTCTATAGTTGGGAGGAGTAAATGTTTGTCAGGCCATCGGAGAGTCCAATCGCCCAAATTAAACAGAACAGGCGCTGTGAGGATCACCGCGCGTAGGGGAAGGTTCACTGAGTGTTGAGTGCTGATGTGTCGAACTTTAACAACAATTGTCACTCATTGACAAACTCACTCGGAAATGGTCAAAAGCCAAAGGATGTTTTGGAGTTCCAAAATTGTGCTCTTGGAGGAGAATTGAGGGTGCCTGGGCACCATCCACTCACCTGGATATCTCAAAACACGCCAACTTGGAAGTCCTTGCAAATCCCTTTGAAACTAGGATGTCTTTTGAAGAGTCAGAACACTCCCTGAAAAGTCTTGGAGCTTCAACGAATCCTGAAAAACCTGGAAGAAGTCTCACCAACTCACCATCTCACACCAAGCAAGCACCGGACCAACAGTGAATTTCTGCCGGAAATCGCCAAATCCATCCCCCCAAAAGATCCTCCGCGCTCAAATTCAAAAGACGTTGGATTTTGCAAACAGACCCACAGAACCTCAGAACCCCGACCCGTAAAAAATCGAAGGGGTCACTGCCATCTGCAAGCCTCAGCCCGGTGAACCCCCCTCCCGGCCTCGGCTTGCTCGTGCCCGGACATCCGCCGCACATCCTTGAAGGACGGACGCGGCGTGGGGGCACAACCGTTGTGTGAAAGATGATTAGGATGGTTGAGCCAATAGGTACTGCCAAGTAGATGGCGCAACCCTTGAGTGAAAGATGATAATTATGGTGGCGCCTATAGATGGCGCAACTCATTTCCCTATCCTTTCCAGTCCTTCTTGTATCTAACATGTTCCTTTTTTCATCTCCTGTTGCTTAATTCGGTTCACTTCTCCTTTCCCTTCCCTTCCCTTCCCCTTCCTTTTCTGGACTAGTCTTTCCATCTACAGTATTTATTTTTACAGTATTGTTCCTTTGTTTGCTTTCCTTTCCTCACCTTTGCTTTCCTATCCTTTCCGTATCCTCTCCTTGTTCTTTTCTTTCCTTCATTCACTTCTCCTTTCTCTATCCTTCCCTTGCCTCTCCCTTCACCTTTCCCTTTCCTTGCACTTGCGTGAACCAATAACAGAACGCTGCACGATAATAGCCCAGTAGATGGCACAACCCTTGTGTGAAACATGATTAGGATGGTTGAGCCAATAGGTACTGCCAAGTAGATGGCGCAACCCTTGTGTGAAAGATGATAATTATGGTGGCGCCTATAGATGGCGCAACTCATTTCCCTATCCTTTCCAGTCCTTCTTGTATCTAACATGTTCCTTTTTTTCCATCTCCTGTTGCTTAATTCTGTTCACTTCTCCTTTCCCTTACCTTCCCTTTCCCTTCCTTTTCTGGACTAGTCTTTCCATCTATTTCTTTCTATGTTTCTTTTGTTTGCTTTCCTTTCCTCACCTTGGCTATCCTTTCCTTAATGTCTCCTTTCCCTCTCCTTGGATGCCTTCTTTTCTTTCCTTTCCTTCATTCACTTCTCCTTTCTCTATCCTTCCCTTGGCAGGTGGCTTGCGCCATCTAATGTCGTGCTTGCTGCTTTCAGGGCCAAACATTTTATAGCGGTCTTTCACGAAACGGATTGTAAAAGTAGATGGCGCCAAACCCATCCCCGACTAGTAGTTTCCCATTCATTGTCACGGCTTTTCGCCTAACATGGCTTGCGCCATCTGCATCTGGGTTCTTTCGTTCCAGAGGCGTTTTTTCCCTACACAATAAATGGCTCATTACAAAAACCTGAGCCAAGTTTTCTGACTATAGAGTATACAGAATGACGGTGCCCATCCTTTGGTTGTCAATTTTGGCAGTCACCAGTGAGTGCACTACAAAATGCAAAGCCAGGGTTTATAGTCTACCAATTTTGGAAAGCCTTAGATTAGACCCTCCATTTTGTAGTGCACTTCTCCCTTTCTCTTTCGATCATATTTTTGTCTTCAGCCATTGCATTCTATATTGAGTGTTCTCGGGCTCCTTGCATTTTATAGTGCAAAACTCCGCCCCCGAAAATCATAGCTCCAAAGTGGAGGCCCATCATCTCCATGGGTATTTGAAGGGGGGATGACTCAGACAACTCCAAAACATGTGCTCCCGAGCCGTATACTTGGTTTCACATCAAGCCATCTCAGGGTTTGTGTTTTGTGTTGGAGAGGTTTAGGAGTTAATGTCAAGCTTATCCTATCTCGCATGAGGTTTGGAATGAGCCGAATCAGGCCTGAAATCTTAACATGTCTTAAGCTTTGGATAGGTTTTTGGAGACAAGAGTTGTTTGTGTCCAGGTCCTTCTTCTGTAAAGTGTTTGAGGGTCAAATGCTTTGCAGGCCAGTCGCTTGCAAACTGGCTTGCTGGTTTTGTTTTGAGTGACCTGCTTAAGTTAAAAAAAAAAAGAAAAGAAAAGCGGGAGGGGGTGCGGGGAAGGGCACAGCGCCTCCCCCGCAAAAAACAAAGTATAGTAAGCATCCCGGCACTGACACGCTTCCTCGCTTGCTTGCTTGCTTCCTTGCTTCCTTCCTTCCTCCCTCCCTCCCTTCCTTCCTTCCTTGCTCGGCAACAGAACCTGGAAAAAAATACCGTTGGAAAAAAGAAATCCCAAAAAATGGGGTGCCTCAAACCATGGTTCTCCAGCGACCATGTTGAAAATAACAAACAGGTGAACTCCGCTTCCATGATAATGACTCGGAGAGTACCCCCAAAAATTGGCCGCATGTACTTTAAATACACAAAACTTCTACAACACGAACCTTCCACCTCGACGCGTCCCTTCCATCCCACCTCCTCCCATCCTCTCCTTCACTGTCCCACCCACTCTCACCGTTCACCCCACCTCAGTCAACGCCACCGTCACCCGTTTCGTCACGGAACACCCGGCCTGGAAGAAGGGCCGGTTAAACGAGCCCCACGCGCCCCGGGACGAGAGCTCCGCCGTGACGTCCGCCTGGGTGGCGGAACGCTGCGCGCTCGGCTCCGCTCGGCTCCGCTCGCATGGGACATGGGATGGGAGGTTGAAGAGGTGTCTGAGAGATCCGTGTTGTTCATATTATATCTCTCTATAGTTATAACATGTCCATATATAATTATAGCTGACACCACACATGCGCAGATTTGGCTCCGGTGATCGAGCTCCACAGCTCATGACACTGCAGAGCTCCTGCGGGCGCTCGCCTGATGCGCAAAGCCCGGAAGTTGCTCCAAGAGCCGCAGCGCGTTATCCTGCAGCGGCTGGTTGGGAGTGAACCTGCGCGGCGCGAGCGATGGCCGCGGAGCAGAGGGCGAGAACTGACACAACCCAAGGATTCGATATGATTCGATTAGGTCCAAACCTGCCCCGAATCGATTGACCAGATGTCCTTCAATGCACCCCGTTCTCCTTTTCCAGTCCACTTTGATCCATCACAACTTTTTCATGATTCATGTCGTGCTTGGTTTTTAGGTATAAGGTATAAGTTTGGGGGATAAGAATTAATATACAGTACACTTTGGCAAACACTCAGTTCACAAGCACTTCCAAGGGTTTTCTCAGGATATAGACACTCGCAAGTTTTGCACTACTGCGCCATGGGTTTGCCAAGTGCTGGATCTGCGAAAATCACTGCATTCTGTTGCGGTGTCCTTGAGCTTTTTGGAGTCCACCACTTCGAGCCGGATCAGCAAGTTTTGTTCCGTGGACAAAATGGCAGCCAAATGATATACAAAAATAGAACAACATTGGGCCTCCTCTCCCACGAATTCGTCCAACAGTGGTGCCACCCCTGTTGAGTGGGAAGAAAATTGAAGAACTGCGAACGGTGGTTTCAACTCGGAACGAAAAATATGAGACCGAAGTGGGATCAATCATCAATCATCCTATGTAAAGGTGGATGTGACCCAGTGACCCTGTGACCACCCAGAGAAGAACCAATACAGTACCTTCACCCCGACGTCCGACCTTCCGCATCTCCCACCGCGAAGACCGAACGAGTCTCTCCCAGGCTCTCCCTCTCCGGGCGCCTATTGTAGTCCACCACCAACCACTGAGAGTTGCCAGTTCCCAGGCTCTCCGAAGCCAACATCGAGGTCCACTGCGTGCCTTGCGGGTTGTACCGCGTACGGGCGCGCAAGCAGAGCGAGCGCCCCAACCACGCCACACATGCGCATACTTTGGGTCTATCCGTATCCTATTACCTGGGCCCAGTGGATGATGGTTCAGTTGCAGGCCTTGTCCAAAAGTAGTGATAATTGTTTACTGACTGTTACAGGTAAGAACGGACAGACCCAACGCATACTGTAAATGCGCATCTTCCATGCAGAGGGTGACGGGGCGATCGTTGAGGGGAGGGAGTTGAGGGAAGTGCTTTTGGAGTCGAGAGTGGGACCGGTGGCCACCTCTTATACACGGGAAATCATGCACGTGGATGGCATAGCCCCGATGTCAAATCGCCAGAAGAGACCCTCCGAACGCGCAAGGAAGTGAATGCCATGGCCCCTGAGAAGGTTCGAAAGGAAGGGGAGTTCCACTTCCAGGTGTCGTCAAACACATGTCAAAACATATCCTTTGCCCTTCGTGTACCACCCCAAGCAAAAAGCTAAAAAGAAGAAACACTTCAGTTAGTTGAGGTCGTACATCACGTCCACCACCATCATCAACATCAGCAACATCATCAACATCTATCAAGCACATCTATCAAGGCCAAATATCTGTAGGGTCGCCCTATCCTGAACATTCACACGGTGAAACTCCCTGTGAGGTGTTCTTCAAAGTTTCGGGTGTGGGCCGGTGTGGGGATGTGAAGCGTGCGATGACTGATCTGTTGGATCCTCGCACCCACCAACGTCTGTTGGATGCCTTGGACGCCTTGGATCAGCTGCTAAGTCTCTTCCTTCTCCCCCGGAAGGCCTGTCTTGGCCACACGATTGGTGGCCATCACGTGCAAGAACCGCGGCAGCCTGCGGGTCAGCCCGACATCCGATGGATCGGTCGATGGTGGGAACTGGTTGGAATCCAAAATGGTTTCACCCTGGTTTGGCCGGTTCTCCGCTCAACTCTGAGGACTCCCGGTGCACAGACTTGCAAAGGTGAGAAACCAAAGGCTCACCAGGACTCCCTTTTGAACAAGGGCGGATAGGGTAAAAGCATGGGGCTGAACCGTTCCACTTCCGGTTTCAGGGAGTGTACTGTCTCCTGTTCTTTTTTATTCATCATCTTACAAAGCCATATATAACCTGATTCACGCAACCAAATGGTCTTGCCTTCTTGTCTTACTGGCGTGAGTTCTCAAACCACTGATCTTCCTAGAGCCGCTCGATCCGCCAACTGATGTTCCCACAGCCCGCATCCACACACCAACATAGAGCCACATCGAAATGAAACCACCAACCCAACCCATTCCAACCCTTTCTCATCAAAGACCACCTCACCAAAAGTCTCCTCCAAACCGCCTCCCCTTTTCTCGTGCCACCATCCAACCGTTCTCCTGTCGACTTGAGAAACCAATCGAAACCGCCTGGGTCGCTTGGGATCCTCCGAGATGCGGTCATAGACCCTCGGGTTCAGCACCTCACGTGAGATGCCACGGCAGAGAAGTCCCGGAGCACGACGTTCGTTCCGTTCGTTCGCGAACTGGTTGGTGCAGAAAATGGGACCGTCCCGGGAGGAAGTGGAGTGTTAAACACGGCCATCCGTTGAAGTGGTTGGTGCAGCTTTGGAGGGCACAGCCCAAAGTTGAAGCGCAGGTGTTTCAGGCATCACTCATCACTTGAATCTTATTGTCGGAGGTTGTGCGTGCTTCATGTTGAAATGATTCTTCGTAGTATTTCTTCATGTGCAGTTCCATTCACTTCCAATTTGTGGTCATCTCCTGGCGCCCCGTTGGGGGCCCTTGGACGGGTCATCCCTTCGTGTCCAGTTCCACCGGAAGCCACCGGAGTCTGAATAATCCGGTTGCATCAACATGTATCAACATGCATCATGTCCAAGTTTCCAAATGTGGCTCTTGGAACGCAAAGGCCTAATCTATCTACCCAACATCTCAAAGTTTATTGGATCGCATGCGTAGATATATATATATACATGTGTATATATAGATGCGTGTGATTATATTTTTGTTAATTGTTTCATACGAATATATATATATATATATATGTATATGCATGCGTGCTTTTCTGGGAGATGAATGAAGTAGTAAAGTACTAGGAGTCAAGAATCAAGACTGCGCAGAAAGTCTTCAGGAACAATAGTTTCTTAAGAAATCTTAAGATTTTCCTGGAACCAACAACCAAGATTGCACAGAAAGTCTTGGGGAAAATATTGGTTCTGATGAGAAGGTTTTCTTGGAACCAAGAACCAAGATTATCCCCAAGACTTTCTGTGCAATCTTGGTTCTTGGTTCCAGGAAAAGATTTGTTAAGATTGGTGAATTAATGTTGATCGTTTCTGTCTTTTTTTGACACATAATCTTCACCTGCACTGCACGAGGAGGTGAAAACGAGGTGGTAAAAAAAAGAAAAGAAAAAAAACACTATAAGTTTATGTAAATTAGGTATCAAAAACAATCATGAAACACTAAAATCATGAGCAAAAATCGACACAAAGGACTGTAACAAGCACTGTTTTCGTAGAAGAGGTGGGTACTGGGGGGATACCATATAGGTAGACATTTCGGGGGTACCATATATATATATATATATTATATATATATATACGTATAATAATACAATATAAAACATATATATATATATATAATGTAAATGTGACTTTGTTCGCACCCGCTTTTCTGAGGTCACATCACCAACATGTTAACCTTTATTCACGTCCTGCACTCCAAACCTCGTCCGCCGACCTTCTTTCGGGGCGTCCCACCGACCACCCACGACGGGAACTGCGGCACCTCCAAGCTCGTGTCCATGATGGTCAAGCCGTTGTCCTCGTTTGAAGGTCCCGAGTCTGAATAGGTCCCGAGTTCGGCGGACTTCGGAGATATCATGATCACATGGACAACAAGTGTTGAGACGGCCAGGTGAGGATGTGCAGTGTGCCCCTGGAAATGATGGTTGATGTGTGTCCTTTCGGCAACTGGAACTCTTGTTCTGCGAAGAAGTCACCTATGGTTTTGCCTTGTGTGAAGCAACCATCAGCAGACTTGACAAAAATAAAGTTGGGCCCCCCGCAGTCACGGTGATGTCGCCTCTGCCATGCGTCTCATCCCTTTCCTCTCTTCCCCCCATCTCTCCGTCATGTAGAAATCGTCGGTGCTGGAGACACAGCCAGGATAAGAGCCTCGCTGGAGTCCACCCGGGTGCCCGGTTTGGATGGTTGGCACTGTTGGCCACCTATCGGACCAGGGTCAACTAGTCGCCAAAACAGGTGGTACCCACCTGCCATGGACTCGGCCTAAATCTCCAAAAGCCTCAAGGGGAGAGCTAGAGCTTTGGGGCCTTAGGGTACAACTGCTGCTTCATATGGTCAAAGTGAAGCCCAAATCTGTACTTTGGTCTGTATTGAAGTGGGGAGATCCCCCGACCGCCCCAACTTCTTTCCAGATCCTACCTAAGAGGGTCTTCCCCACGTCAAGACATCATATCCCACATCCAAAATGCCATGCTCAAAAGGGCTCAAAAGCGACCCTCTGGGAATCTCTTCCACTGTATGTGGTCCCACCAGGCCCCACCACAGGCCCAACAAATATTGGTTTTAAAGGGGGCCAGGGATCCGTTGAAGGGCCTAATTCAACATTGGAGATCCGTTGAAGGGCCTTTGCTCCAACTCCAACATAGGTTGTTTTGCCTTGGGTTGTTTTCTGCCTTCTTGTGCATGAACTTTTTCTAAGGCATAGGTACGCGCGCTCAGTGGCTCAGCTGATTGATTCCAGGCACCACGCAGCGACGCTGCCATTAGTTTGGACCAAGAGGCTCAGGGCAATGAGTTCATTGGATTGAAATGACAACGGCAAATGGAACCTGTAGTACCTGGGCTTGTCTGCGGAGGGTTGCTGGGGAAAAAGGACATGAACGCATCAACAGGTCGGATACCACCAGGACATCGCATGAGTATGTCTTCAGTTCTTATAGACATACAGTAGTACCTGAAAGGTACCTGAAATAAAAAATCCTCTTCATATGGGGAATTTATTCATTCAAGAGTCTACATTAGTACCTGAAAGGTACCTGAAAGGTATACCATGGGCCTTTTGTGTTTTCATTCATGTTCATTCCACCAGAGGAAACAACGTGGAGGGTGCCGGCATAGATAGATGGTCTGTCCGCGCCACTGTAACAGCAACAACGGATGCGTCACTACGGGCCTGGTTTTCGATTGGGCAGGGTAATAAACGCCTCTGAAACTGACATGGGACAGAGATGGACAAGCAACTGAAAGAAACATGGCAGAAGTGAGTGCCAACAGCAGGATAATAAAGGGAGACCCGCCTCCCAAAGAGCCCCTGGAAGAAGGAAAATAGACTGGACCAAAATCCCCCTGGTTGGGGATCTCCCTGTTAAAATAGACACGCCCATACACTTGCACAGAGTGTCGCGATGTGCTATGCTTTCCTGCAGATGACCAAAAAACACAAACAAGAGCAATCTTCTTCAAGCCGTCAATGCTCTACGAACTTGGAGTATCAAAGCTGCTTTTTTCAGGGGGCAGTCTCAGTCTGATCCAGTGTTTCGCTCCGCGTCGGATTCGAGCCTTGTGTGTCCTTCCGCTAAAGGAAAGATTCTCTCTCCGATCCCGCTGTCTTGTTTTCGAAACGGGGCATGTGAACCTTGCGAGCACCAAGTTAGAGCCGCACAGGCAACAGACCCATAGATAGTTAGCTGACTTTGTGCCAGCTTCATCTCAATGTTACAAGAAAAAACATGCAGCATGTTAGATATGTTAGCATGTTTCGACACCCAGGTTGGCTCCGCAGACACATGAGGTCAAATGGATCAAAAGCTTGTCGATTGAAATTCTGCTCTGCCAAAGCTCACAGCTCATCCAGCTCCCCTGGCTCAGCCAGCTCAGACTGACTCACCACTGAGTCAGTTGCTCACCACATCACAAATCGACCTCACCTCACCACATTGCACATCAAATCACCACTACAGCTTCTTTCCTCAGATGGAACCCGAGATCCACATGTTCGTTTGCTCGGAGCCGAGGTGCTTGAAGATGCGCGTCATCTTTCCGTAGTCGCTCCTCAGGTTTTCTAGGGTCGCCCCCCGGGCACCGCTGCTCCGATGATCCGGCTTGAGGGCTTCAAGGGCTTCGAAGCTGTTTCACCGAAGAGGCACCGCCAAGTCCCGGAGTCGAACGCCTTTCGGTGCCTCCAACGGTGCGGTGGTTTGCTTGGAAAAAAGGCCGATCAGATTCTCATTTATCTATCACGACAGGTGCGTTTCACACCTGCTCTTACAGTGTGACCCCTCAAATCCACCTCTGAGGATCTTCTGCTACAAAATTAAGGGCCTTGCTTTGAGACCAGACATATCATCAGACCGTCCGAAAAGAACTCCCTATAGCAAGGAAAAGACCCGCACCGCCGAAGCACGTTCACCACTTGCCACTTGCCACCTCCTTTTGGAATACGCCTTTCCCCATGGTTTTCTTGCGTGATCTATCCCACTCCACGTATGGCATATATGGGGGTCCATGACTCATATGGCAGTCCCATGGGTCGTGTCTGGGTCCATTGGGAGGGTGACTGGGACCTGAGCAGCTAACGAAGAAGCCTTCCAGAAACCAAGGCATCTCTCATCCCAAAAGCAATTCTGGTTCTGTGAAGCCTGATGGATCAAACATGATCAATGACTTGGCCTCGGTCTTTCCAGCGGTTCTTTGGGAGGTCATTTTCACCTGGTGACCTCCTTCCATCTGATTCAGTGACGGACCAGACGTCTCTTCGTGTTGGTTCGGTGTTCACCGAGAAAAAAAGAAATCCGGATTCATCCACTGAACCAACAGGATTAAGTCACTCTTAGATACTCTTAGATACTCTTGGTCTCGTTTCGTTCCCCCCCAGGCGCTGGTGTCTGTCATGTCTGGCCAATGCCAGTGCCCGTGCCCGGCAGGGCCCGGCTCAGCGCAGCCCGCGCTCGGTTTCGCCAGAGCTTCCAGGTGCTGTGTCCCACCAAGAGCTCGCTGTTGGAGGGGGCCAAGCGCACCTGTGAACTGGCCCGTGGTGTTTCGGGCTGGCACAAGGCGCGTTTCTTCCAAGAGAAAGGTCGCCCAGTGCTATCTGGTTCACTGAAGATCCAAGTGGTTCACTGGAAGAGGAAGTCCCTTTGTTGGATTCCAATGAACCAATTGGAATCGTCTTGGAGCCGTGGAACACCCAGGTCGACCCACCTGCTTCATGACCGGTGAAAGCGCGTGGTAAACTGGACGGTGCCGTGGGACTGCGGCTGAGGGACCCGCAACAAAAAGGGGGTCATCAATGCATGTACCATGGATGGGTGGCTTCAAAAGATGTTTTGAACCGAGCATCTTGGGCACAAGGCCTCCACTCCCATGGATTGTGGGGGGGGTGAGGGGTGGTTCTCTAGTCCCCCGCAAGCACCCCGATCGGCGATGAGTCGACGAGCGATCGGCGCGGTCATCGGCACTTTGAGGGGTCGAGAGATCGTGGATCGCTCGTCCGGGGTGCCGGCGCCGAACGGAAGTTGGGGTCCCCCTGTCACATCCACAGAAACTGGATGGGACGAACCACAAAGCACCCCGAGCTCTGTGACTCCTGGTATAAACATCGCCATGGAAGTTCAAAGATTGGAGAGTCCTTGTGCATGTTCTCTAAGGTCCATGTTGTGAAGAGAACTTACCTGTCGGTTGCGGTCTCTAGATCAAAGGCATTCTGCCATCACACATTGGAGCACATTAGGACACATCTTCAAGATCTTGTTTCTTCATGACTCTTCACCACATTGGAATTCAAGGAGTTGACGCAAACAATACGCTGAAACTGAACCTGGGGTCTATGCTGGCAGTTCTGGTCATAGTGTACCAGCCCAGCAGTTCTGGAGGCTCAAATCGATGACAGGTTCAGGTATGCCTACACACCCATTGATCGTCTTGGCGCTGACCTGGTCGTCTGACCGCTGACCAGGCGCGACCCGAAAGAACGCATCACTTCACGACACGAAGGACATGAAAACATACATGAAAACCACGTTTAAGGCCTTATGGTCGTGCTGATGTCATGATCCTTCATGATCATTCATGTACCGAAAAAGCTGCTGTTCTGCCACCAGTTCTTCATTCTTCATGGCTCGGAGGTGGAGTGCTCGCAGTCACGTCGTGTGTGCAAAATCTACTGCAGATGATCAGAATGGAGACTGGTGTCCATCGCTGACCCATGCGAAGATGACTCCAGGGTCAAGCCGGAGCGGAGTAAAGCATCTCAGGACCTCGGCGCAGGCTCCAACGATCCAACTGGCTGTCCTGCCCAAGATTGCTCGCTGCAATGCAGCAGGCTTCTGGGCCGTCGTGACCGAGCTGATTCTTTCTGATCAGCTCCATCCCGACCACCCAGAAAACATCAGGTCACCTCAGCTCACCTCGAGGGTCTGGCCATCTCCAGCTTCAGATTTCTGCCACAGGCACCACATCTCTGCCACGTCTAGGCCAGACACGTGCAGGCTCCGGTCGCAGCGACACGTTCGCGTGTCTCATGCGACTCAGAGCCCGGTCCAGCCAGCTCCGGTCGCAGCTTAGCTCGGTTCTGAGCTCGGATGAGCTCGGCTGCGGGCCGAGTTGGAGACTTTGGTGCTGAATGGAACGAACACGTCCGAGTTCACAGATAAAGAGCTTGTCTTCCCAACAGGAAAAGAGAAACCACCAGGAGTCACATGGAGTTGGGTGGTGTTTAGTCCCATCCAGTGAGTGGATGTTCTGGGCACCCTTATTCTCCGTTCGTTCAGCACCTTGTGACTCCTGGCACAGAAACATCCCCTCCCTCCACTTCAGTCTTCGCGTCGCATCCCTCCACTTCCGTCTTCGCGTCGCATCCCTCCACTTCCTTCCTCCGCGCACGAAAAAAGACGAAAACACCGCACCAGGGCCGAGCAATGCCCGCGCTTGGCCAGGCGCAGCTTCCAGTCCTCGGGCCGGTGAACCGGTGGTGGAACGCAGGTGGAACGCCAGAGGCAATGAAAGCAGGTGCTGGCGATCCAAGACCGGACTCAGAGGGTGCGCCTTGTTGGTGTTTTTGGAGCACGCAGGTCTGGTGAACAGGCCATTCTGGTATGTGATGAATCAGTATACCCCTTACATTCTCCTGGCATTGAAGAGTCTTGACAAGGTCTCCTGGCCTTATCGAAATGGTGGACAAAGCTTCACACCGGGACACCGTATAGATATGCCTGGCCAGGTCGTATGGGTTTCAGAGTCGATGGTAGAAACCAATGGACCAGTATGGATGCTCCCTGATGCCTCCATGACAGAAAGGCAGTGTGAGGCCTGATAGCATCATTTGGCTTGAATGAAGAGACTTTGAACCAAAAGTGACATGAATGCACCCTCCCTTTTGCATCCTTTTGGCATCCAACAAGTCCACTTGTTCTACTGTGATATGTCATGTCCATTTCCGCACACCACTTCTGCCACCACTTCTGTCATCCTGTCATCCCACCTTTCAGAAACCTGCTCTCCATCCGGCCCTCCACTGGGAAAAAACCGGCTTCGAACGACCGGCCGTGAACGGAACGCCAAGGCGCGCGGTCCACCGCCTCGGGGACCGCCTATGCGAGACCGCGAGATGTGCGCGAGATGTGCAGAATGACCCCGTCAGGGTGCGGCAAAGATATATATACATACATAAGATATATGTATATGTATACACATATATGTAACTTATATGTATATAATTATATGTATCATATCGTACATAGAAGTGTGAAATGGTTGAGTCTCTTCGCGAAGCATTTGGAGTCGATGTTTCAGCTGCTTCGTCTTCAGGACGAGGTTTCAGGGGTTCGGAAGCGTCAGGCTTCGTCAAGGGCGCAGAACTCACTTCGATCGACCAGCGTCGTTGGGATGCAAGGGATCCAACTGTTAGACAGGCCATCAGCCGTGGAGATTGGGAGAACTGAAGTCCATCCATGCGTTGGGCGCAGGGGTACAAGGGATGGTGGAGGGTGGTGAAGCTTCCGGATACAACATGTCAATGGATCCGAATGGATAAGAATGATCCTCAAGAGACGGCCTGGCCAATTTAGGAGCAGTAGCCACGAGTCTTGTGGGATGAACACCATGTGATGTCCTGATGTGTCCTGTAGATCTTCCCTTAAGCCATGCCCCCTTTTGATGTGGGAAAAAACAAGCTCAGCACCTCCTCTCTGAGGAGGAGGCCCCACCTTCCGGTTCCGAGAGTTCTCATCCAGCTGCAGGAAGACCTTCTCTCCTGACCATCCGGCCATCTGGGCACCCCATTTCTCCCCGGACAGATGGGACGATTTCTGGTCGGGTGACTTTCCATCGAGCTTTGGATTGTTTTTGGTGGAATTGTGCGAAGAAAAGCCTGAGAGTCCAGGAAAAGGACTCCTTCTACCCCTATGGTAGTGGTGGAAGACGGCGACGATGTGTCTCATTGGACGTTCTGGGCTTTCGCTTGGACAGCGGCCAGACGGGGGATGGGCCATGATTCCATCAGCACCCAAGCCCTGACAAAGAGTGTCTAGTTGACACATGGTTTGCCTCGGCAAAGTACTACCCCAAGTCTTTTCGGTGGCATCTTCACTGCATCCTTTGAAAGAAATGTCAAGCCTGTGAAAAGGGCATTCCTTCACTACTACCTGGTAAAACACAAATAAGAATCGTTGCATTCAAGATGTCAAATCTGTCGCTGAACACCAGGGGCCATATGGACCAAGGAAGTCTTTCAACATCAGCTGCCTCTTCTCCAACGAAGAGGAAGCTCAGCCCACAAAGCCGGCGACTTCCAAACCATGTCAAAAGGCAAAACCCTTGCGAACCACTACACCCAGTTCGAACGTGTCATCTCCCATGCCCAGAAACGCCAGGGCAAGACCCTCCGGAAATGCCCCCAATGTCCACGCCAGAACGCCTCGTTGTTGGGGAGTGCTGGCGGCCTCCTGGGCAGGTCTTGGTCTGTGTGAGATGAAGAATGCGGCACCTCTGAGGCAGTCAGCATCCCCCATCCCCATCTATACCGACGGACTGGAAGATAGAATGCGATGTTGGAAACGATGGCAAAGTACCTCAAATGTTCGAATGCCCAAAACGTGTTTTGAATGCGTCTCTTCACGGTTCAACAACACATAAAAGACCCAAAGCGTTCCTGGGCCTACCTCCGTTTCGGAGAAGGTGCTTGCGGGTGGTTGGTCGGGGGGTCTCTTCCTAGCGCATCCGACCCCAGCGACTTCGGAGGTGGAGCCCGAGGAATCTCAAAAGGTACAGTAGGGGAATCCAAACAGGGAACGCCGCAAGTGGACTCCTTTGTTTCATTGTTCTTTAGACCTCTACACTGTACACCTTTCTACCTTTGTTTTTGTGTTTCTTTGTTTTCTTCTGCAACTCTCTGCTCCACCTACTCACCTGTGTAGCACGCTCTATCTAGTGACTAGTGCACAGCAAAATACTCTTCGATCCAGATGCAGTACCTCCACTCTACAGCTGACCCTGCTCCACATCCAAAAAAAAATCCTTCGAATCATGTGCTCCCCAAAAAAACGAGAAACAAATCCCTACGTCCACTTTCCAAGAGCCACATCCGAACAAACGGAGGAAGTTGGGGTGCCCGTGTCACATCCACAGCCCCTGGATGGGATGAACCACACCACCCGAGCTCTGTGACTCGTTTTTCTTCACACGATCACCGACGTTGGAAAACCATGGACGTTTTCAAACCTTCACCGGGTTTCCCCGTCCCCCGCCGACACCCGCCGCAAGGTCCGGCGCCGCGCCTCCTCGGCGCCTCCGAACTCGTGTCGCGAGCGCGTCGCGTGGTGCGCGCGGTTGGAAGTTCGCGTCGTTTCCACTGGATTCGGGAAAATCTTAGCAACCCATGGTGTTCACCCCCGAAACTCATGAGTGTCGTGCAGATGTTCCCTTAAACCCATTCTGGGACAATTGAATTGAAACAAACATTACATCATTATTCGACAAACCCTCATCGTAGCCCCCCACATGCCCCCAAGGTTTGCTGAGATCACACATGCTGTCACATGATGCCTGAGAAAGAAATGGTCAATGCTGCAATTGGGTCACAGCTGGCATGTCAACGGCTCTCAACAATAGAACTCACACGTACACACGATATATCACTTGTATAAATAGAACTTTGATCTGGGTAGCCATCCACTCAGGTCGAGATGTTGACCATGACCCCATTGACTCCAAAAGCAAAGGAACCTCAGCTGCCCTGCCCAGCAGGGTGAACATATATGGCATCATCCAATCAAAGCAACAGACGCTGGCGGCACACCACCGGATTTATTGGTTGGTGCGACAACTGAAGTCATCTCGGCCACGAAGCATATATACACAATAATCGAGGTACTGGACACGCCTTGTCGTTGGGCGGTCGCCTCAGGGCTATAGGCCTCGCCAGGGCGAGACGGTCTCAGTGTGTGTTCGCTGTCGGTCACTTTCATCGAAAAAAATTGTTCCCTAGATGCCCCAGATATTTGACCACGACGACCACCACCACCAGTACCAGCACCAGCACACCATACCACAACACAACACAACACAACACACAACACAAACACACAACACACAACACACAACACAACAATATAATTACCTGTGTGCGTGGCATTTTGCGTGGCAGGCGGTCACTCACACGGTCGCACTTTAGATAGAATGACAGACTCTGGCGACCCCCAAACCCGAGGACCCACAAGCAAACCCCACCAAAAAAAGAACACCATTGCCATGGCTCTTCACCATGGCATGACAACAACTGATTGACATGTCATGGTGGGGATCACTCGAAGTAAAGTAATTTGTTCAAACACGCACACACACACACAACTGCATGTTCAGAAGGTGGTGTTGTGTCGTTCGGTGCAACAAAACAAAAGTAGACAGAAGGGGGAACGGCCAGACCGGGCCGTCTCTTCGATCTGGGCGAAGGGTCGGACCGTCAACGGGTGAAGCGGCCCGTTGGGTGAATCGAGTCCCAGGAAAGACCGAACTGAACCTGTTTTCGTTGGGTCATGAGAACATTATTCAAGGGTACGAGTTATACTCATAGTTACGACTTCAGGTACGACTCGAACCCCATTTCACAACTGGTGTCTGGGAAGGAGGGTTGGGCAACCCTCTCTGAAAACAAGAAAAAAACAAGCACCAGCGAGAGGTTTTTCCAGGTTTGTTCATGTTTCTTTTTTAATTTCCCCAGGCCCATCCCAAATGAGCAATGTCACAATATCACAAATATATATATATATCATACCCAAGCAAGGAGGAATTCCGCCACCTTCTTCACCTCACCTGCATCATCTCCGGGAGCTCTGCGTGGGCGTTGATGAAGAACATGTCCACCATGTCAATGGTGCCAACACCCTCGGCCGCCGAAGCAAAGACCGCGGTTTTTGTGGCGTGCTCCAAATTGGTTCCTTCCGGTGTGGGCGACGTGCTTCACGTTCGTCGTTGAGGAGATAAATTTCCTCCGAAAAGGTTGCCAATTGAGACCTGTTTGGGCCTAGGCACCCTCAAATAAAGACCTGTTGGAGGGTACTGGTGGGTGGACACGAAGCCAACCAAACCGGAGAGCATCCTGGAGAGCATCTGACTGAGCCTTGTGTGGGAAACATCTGTACCCTAAACACCCGGTAAAATAAGATCTAAACAAAAGAAACACCAAAGGCCTCCAACGTCTCCGCGGAGGGCGCCTTCTCTTTGGCCACCAAGTTGTAGGCATCCTGCAGTGTGATGGATGGACGTAGGACACGTGGACGCAATCGTAGGCGGGTGGATGACAGTCTCAAAATGAACGGCCCAACCACTTAAAAATGGACCCAGATCGAAGGCAGACCCCCCAAAACCACCCACCCCAACCACCTTCTTTTCGGATGTGACTGGAGCCCACATCCGGATGTGGCACAAGACCGTCCAGTGCCCTCGATGAGCCAGGTCCTTGATGCCCCACATCTGAAGGAAGAGGTAGCGCACCTGCTTCCAGTAGGGGTCCGCTGGTTCCTGTCGCTGTCGCTGTCATCGGGGGACAAAACCTCCAATGGCATACTAAACACTACGATAAACATGATAAACGTGTCTTGGACTAAAATAGCAAAACACATCCAATTGTTTTTCTTCTACGTGATTGAAACCGCAAGTTCTCACCCCGGGACATCCACGAATATTCTCAAGATGCGGCATTCTCAGATTTGTTTTCAAAGGACCTTCTCAATGCGTCTACAGCTTCAGTGAATCCAAAAGTTGGAGTACAATCTGTGAAATCATGGAAGTGGAGTGCACCACATAGTTTGTAAAGGCCGATGATCTTCGATGATTTCATGGACTGCGACTCTACTTCTTCTGTTGCTACCCCACAGAGCCCTGAACCACCCCTTTCACGACGTCAAGCTGTATTTAGCGTAAAGAAAGAGAAACACCAGGAGTCACAAAGCTCGGGGTGCTGTGTGTGGTTTCGGTCCCATCCAGGGGCTGTGGATCATGGGCACCCCGACTTCCGTTCGTTCGGCACCTCGTCGAACGTGACTCCTGGTGTGTCTGTCTTCACGCCACGCTCGCGGCCCCACTCTCGCGGCACCGCGCAAGTGACAAAAACATCGCCGTCTCCTTCAGCACCCGTCCTAGATCTTGCAACTGTGCAACACGTATGCCAGCTCATCCAAAAAATCAGCCAATAGGCACAATTGTGGCGCAGTTGGAAGATCTAGGTCGACCATCAACCCAGGAAGTCGGAGAGGCCTCTCCGAATCCGCCGGACAAGCCCACGACGTGCAGGATGTGATGCACTTGCTGACTGAAGAGATTCCTCGAGCGAGGACCGGGGACATCATCCAAACCTCGCCTTCAGTTCAAACACTGAAGAAGAGTTTGGTGGACCTGGTATTCTAAACAGCTTATGAAAACCCCTGGGCTCTTGGATTTCAAAAAAACATCGAACACCTGACATCTCTGATCGCCAAGTGGACTCTCTGGACTCCGGACCCTAATGCTTCAAGGCACACGGCTCCGGGTCCCGACCTGACAGGGTCCAAAAGAGCACCCCCCTTTGAGTTCGGCTCCCCATCTTCCGGGCGACGCCCGACGCCGGCGCCGAAGAGTCCCTCCGTGCTGGCGCCGCTCTCGGCCGCGCCGCGCGCCGCTCTCAAGTCTGCGGTCTGAGCTCCTGATGTTCATCAGCGTCCGTGAGGACTCCTCCGGCGAGGCCACCGAGGCGGACCGGTGTCTCCGGTGGATGTCCCCCATCATTTCCAGCTCGGACACCGGGGTGAGCGGGGAGGTTAGAGTGGGTAGATTGGGAGCAATTCAACTTGGAGGCACGTGCCGTCTACTGTGAAGCAACATAATTGATGGTTGCTGCGCTTTTTAAACTGCCAGTTGCTTCCTGTCATCGAACAGAGCAAATCCAAGAGTCAAGAAACTATTCTTGCAGTCAACCTGTCACTTGATATGAGTCAACTCGGGACGTAACTTTATCAGCGTGCAGCTGGCAAACCCAAAGGAATTAACTCTTGCGACTTTTTGTGGGCTGCTGTTCTCCCAGTCCTTTGCTTTTGGTTTCGCTCTTGGTATCCTTCTATATAATACCAGGGACCTGGACCTGGAGTGCCCAGAAGCGCTGGATCCAACCCCGATTGGGCTCAGCAAAGAAAACACCCTTCACCCAGAATTCCAAAGACCGAACTTCCCAAGATCTCAGAAGTTACGGACAGCCCGACCCTGTACGGAGTGAAGAACGGTTCTGCTGCGTGGCCCGAAGAATAGCGCTGCATGGCGCCCCATCAAAGTGAGCCCGAGATCGGGGTGAGTGGAATCTTTTTTTCAAGAGACATCCACTGCCAGGAGTCACATGTCGGGGTGGCGTTTAGTCTCCGGCACCCCTAACCTCCATGGATAGCACCCCTTTGTGACTGCTGGTGGTTGGATGTTTTCAGATGACCCTGAACACTTTTCAGATGAGATGCACACAGGAGTCGAGCGGGTGTTAGACACTCAGGAATCCTTCCAGCTGGGCAAAGAAGCCTAGCTAAGTCTCCCAGCTGTGGAAAGTATTCACGAGCAAGTGGTGAAGAGGAACATCAAATGGTTTTGTGAGGTGGTGACACTGGCTCCCTTCAAAAAAGTGATATTTGCTATGCTCCAAGATATTCAGAGATGTCTGACCCTAAACCCCAGTTCCTAAACCAACCGTTACCTTCAGTTCCCAGTTCCCAGCCCGGTCCCGAACCCGACAGTCCCGCCGTCCTCGTCAGCTGCCAGCAGTGGATAGAAATTGCTGTAGAACTGAGAGAGTCGCTCCGCCGAGAGCATCCCCTCCACCAACCTGCCAAACGCGAAACGCTCCGCCGCCCAGCTCCGCCCAGGTCCGGACCGGTGAAAGCACAAGCGGCCCGGCGCAGAAAGGAGGCGAACGCACACTCGACGCACCCGAAAGAAGAAGGTGAAGGTTCGTCCCGAGACGATGGATTCGAACGGGTGGAAGGTTTTCCTGCATGTTTGGCCACTCAAATAGGTTTTCCTGCATGTT